CTGGAGAAGATTGTTTTACTCAGTGGTGGGTTTTAAAGTAGGTTGCCAGTGGTTTGGTGGGTGTGGCTTAGCGGGCGTGCTTTGCACACGCGCACTCACTTTGCCTGCGTGCACGTGCCGGATGCACACTTTGCACATGTACAGAGGCTTTCCTACTCACCTCCTACAACCCTGCACTCTCCCTGTAGCTTCAGCAGCTGAAGCACAGCACTCTGCTTGTGCTGCGCAAAGCAGCTGCGTTTCAAGAGCAGGGAATAAAGGTCAGTATGGGAGCCCAACAGCAGCTCTTCAGAGAGAACCGGTTTGGTCTCCGCTGATCTTTGGTATGCCAGAACCAGGCCGAACCGGTAGAATAGCACCACCGGTTGTTCTTCATAGAAATTCATCTCTACCCCGAGATCAGGAGCCAAACAAGGTTAGGAATACCACGTCTGGATCTCTAAGGTTATCATGCTGGCATATATGGAAAACTAATTTTTCCCCTTATACTTTTTGCTGGGCAGCTGGATGCCTCCTGAATGCTCTTGTTGCTTTATAGGTTGACGCAGCCGTCTTGCATTTGCATAAATGAACTTTCCAGCCCTTGACTCTCGTGCCGTCTTCCAAAATCTGTTGCTCCATGCTCTCTGTAGCTTACTCCCCGAAGGCAGCATCACCAGAAGGAAAATATGCAGCCCCTCTCCTCCAATTCTTTCTTTGTGCCTCCCATTTCTATATTCTGGTGCTGGAGTTGGAGAGGCAGAGAAGCCAGCAGCGGCTGCTGCTATCTGGCCTCGAGCCTTGAACCGACCCACTAATGAAGGCCAGGTTTATTTCCAAGCCTACAGCAGTTGCCAAGAAGACATCCTTACTACAAGACGGGAAAAGAAATCCACGTCAGGCACGACTTCCCCTGCCTTTTAAGTTCAGCGAGTAATCGTAGGGAAGTATGTGAATCACGTTTCTTTGCACCCATTTTTCTGCATCATCTGCTGTCTTTTTTCAAAAAAAGTAGTTCTTCAAGACTGGTCATAATTTGCCATGAAGCTGAGGTTTAGGCTTAATGCGCATTAGCCTGGCTGCGGGGGTCATTCAAATGTTTGCCAGTCTTAGTCACTGTTAGAAAGGGTTAGGAAGCAGCCCCCAGGGTTCTCTCTCTCTCTCTCTCTTTCCCTCTCCCACTCCCTCTCTCTCTTTCACATGGAATATTTGACTTTTTCCCAGTAGAGGATTGGGAGCACTTTTTAATGAAAATCTTTCCAAAAGGAATAGCAAAACTAAAAAGGCACTTGTGCACTTTAAGAATAGATTTCTTACTGCATAAACTTTGGAAGATGAAGACCAACATCTGGCAGGAAAGCATTTAGAGAGAAGGAAACTGCTCAGCAGAGGTCAGAGATAACAGACGAGCAATTCTATGAGCCTATAGCGGGTTGCTGTCGGGCTTTAGAAAACTTAGTGATCCAGGTTTAAGAAATTCCTGCTCAGTGGCTTTGGCAGCTCACCTATCCCCAGCACTACTTTCCCTCATGGAGTTATTCTCCAAGACTAAATGAGAATAATTCCACACATAATATGTGCGACTCCAATGTTTTGCCATATGAGGGGATTCAGTTTGGCCTAGTGGTTAAGGGAGCAGGCTGTAGAGTAGAAGACTGTGTGAGTTCAAGTCTGACCTAGTTGGGTGACTTTGAACAAGCCTAACACACCTCACAGAGCTGATGCTGTGGAAGAAGCAGTACTAGTACTAATAGGAAGTTGTTTTGGATATATTCTCTGCCTTGTTTTTTAGAGTAATAAAAGTTAGATACAAACAAACAAAAGCATGTAAAGGTTTATAGGTAGGTAGGTAGGTAGGTAGGTAGGTAGGTAGATAGATAGATAGATAGATAGATAGATAGATAGATAGATAGATAGATAGATAGATAGAGACAGATAGATAGATAGACAGACAGACACACACACACACACACCTTTCTTCCCCTAATTTTTCCTTGGATGATTGAGCAGGTGATTTTGTTTCTATTTTCCCTAGCAAACTTCCAGCTGCCAGTCCCTAAGCTGCTTCTTAACAGAAGCAGCAACTGCCCCAATTCAAACCCAAGCGATGCACCTGGAAGGAACTGGAAAGGAAGAAATTGTGGGCTTTTGAACTTTTTTTTTTACTTGAATGTTCCTTCTCTGAAATGAATATTGGTCAGAGATATCCGTTTCTTTCATACTTCCATGATTGTGTTGTTGCGTTTCCTTGGTGTGAAAAGAATTATGAATGCCTTGTAGGACCAATATGTGAGAGAGAAAAAAACCAACAGCCCAGGTTAGGATTGGCTTTACTCAGTTTAACACTTTTTAGTCTAACTAACCTAACCTACAAGATTGCTGGGAAGATTAATGGGCAAACAGAGCAAGGTTATTCAGTAATAACCTAGCACTAGTATATAAATATAAACCATGATGTGTTACTGGGCTTATTTCAAGGTATTGATACCATTGGTGTCCTAAAAGAGTTCCACAGGGGGCACGATGGCTCAGTGGTTAAAGACACTGAGCTTTTGTCAGCTGGAAGATTGACAACCCCGGTTTGAGACCTGAGTGCAGCATGACAGGGTGAGTTCCCATTACTTGCCCCAGCTCCTGCCCACCCAGCAGTTCAAAAGCATGCAAATGTAAGTAGATAAATAGATACCACTTTGGTGAGAAGGTAACAGCGTTCTGTGAGCTTCAGGGTATAGTTGTGCTGGCTACGTAACCACAGAAATTCTTCGGACAGCACTGGGTCCCTCAGCTAAGAAATGGAGTTGAATGTCACTCTCCTAGAGTCAGACATGAGTGGCAGGGAAAGCATTTATCTTTACCTTTAAAAGAATTTCAGCCAAAATGTTTACATGAATTACCTCCAGTACACATGAACTATACTTATAGGGAGATTCATGAGGCCTTCTCACTTTGAACATGGAACATTTCTCACATGAACATGCCTGTTTGGTAGGGCTTTCGCAATGGTGTGTAGGTTTATGTTGGATTATAGTTGCCAGTGGTTGTTGGTGCACTTTCTTCTTTTAGCTTTCTAAGAATGGTTTAATTCTTACCCACAACTGATATTTGTCTGTCTGTCTATCTTGTGGAGCACTTTAGATCTTTTTTTTTTCCTAGTAGAAAGCAGAAAACAGCAACGACAATAATGCCTCCTCTATTGTACTCCCTTTCATTTGTAGAAGGGTTTGTGGAAATGCTGCATAAACCAAGAGATTTAGAGACTATTCCTCATTTTCCTGGGAAGTTCTTTCACTAGGGACCATGGTTGCTCAGCCAGTGATAGCATCGGGCTCAAAGCTAAGTAGAGATAAACCCGATGAATACTTGGATAGCAGACATCAAGAAAGCCAAGGGCTGTAGATAAAATGGGAAATTCAACATCTTGAAAGCAGCCATGGGTACAGCACTTCCCTATTGTTGCCAAGAGTCAAAATAGTGCCATCAATGTGGTCACCAGGGTGAGTCACAACCTCTGACAGACTTAGCACCAGCCTTGTTGTGATAAATTAAGCAAGGTCAGTTCTATTTAGTTCATACTTGGATGGGAGACCACTCAGAAATCCAAGGTCTGTAGATTAAACTGAGAAGTGGAATGAAGTCCTGGAACCTCTGTGAAACAGTGACAAGAAAACTAATGGGCAGCCCGAATTTGGCTGGAGAAGTTATTTTTTTAATGCAGGATTCAGTACACACTACCACTGCTCGGCAAAGTTTTGGGGTCCAAGGCCCAGTAAACTGCCCCTTTCTTTCCTTTCAGAATAGAACAGAACAGAACAACAGAGTGACCTTGGAGATCTTCCAGTCCAACCTCCTGCTCAGGCAGGAAACCCTATAGCTATAAACGGTTGCCCAATCGCTTCTTAAAAACTTCCAGTGTTGGAGCATTTACAACTTCTGGAGGCAAGTTGTTCCTCCGAGTAATTGTTCTAACTGGAATTTTCTCCTTAGTTCTAGGTTGCTTCTCCCTTTGATTAGTTTCCACCCATTGCTTCTTGCCCTGCCTTCAGCTGCTTTGTAAAATACCTTGACCCACTCTTCTTTGTGGCAGCCTCTCAAATATTGGAACACTGCCATCACCCCTGGTCCTAATGAAAATTAAACTAGACAAACCGGATCCCAGCAAACCTTTCTTTGTATGTTTTAGCTTCCAGTCCCCTAATCATCTTTGTTGCTCTTCGCTGCACTCTTTCTAGAGTCTCAACATCTATCTATCTATCTATCTATCTATCTATCTATCTATCTATCTATC